ATGGTATATATATATATATATACATACACACGCTCATACACATACTTTCCGAGAGGTGGTATATATATGTATACACACACACACATACTTTCCGAGAGATGGTATATATATATATATATATATATAAGAAACCTAAAATGATGACGAGTGACTACTATTGTTTAATTGTAACTTGGAATGATGATATATCATTGTTTATGTAACGTTTTATACATCTGAAAACCTGATAAACAGAAGTGTGTACAATATTAAAGTACACCAGACCATAATAAATCATCTTTGCCCAGTCTTACAAAACTTCAAACTACCACAGCAGATAAATCATTTTGTGTAGACAACATAGGAAAGTTTCAATATGAATATAAAGACATACGTTCAAACCGGAACAGGAAAGCTGGACCATGGTTTCCGTGAAAGACGGAAATAGAAAAAAATGGGAGTGTCTACAATTTCTACATTATGATATTTTGTGGTTTCAGCTCCTTGTACACGTTAAACCTTGTGTTACTAACATAAAAAAAAACATTCCATTTGTTATACTACTCCAAAACTTAAAAAATGACCAGCACGTAGATCAGTAAAGCAACTAACATTCAATATGCATGTAGAGACAAGATAAAAAGTAAATGACGTACTAATTATATTTCCATACTCTTCATCCAGACATTTTTCGTTGCTTGGTTCAAAAGTGAAAAAGAAAAGTTTTACGTGCGAATCAACTAAGTGTGAGGCAGTTTTGGAAAGAATGATTAACGTATTTTTATTTAAAATATATTAACCTGTGAATTCATTTTTATAAAAGGATTTATAATATTACAAATCTTGCTTTCAAATAGCCATTTAATAATACACCGTTAATTATAGGTTGTCGTCTAAAGTTAATTGAAATGAATACCAACTGGAAACAAACGAGTTTGTTTGTTTATTAAAAATCTACTAAGGCTAATTCCAGTTGCCCCTAATTTTGACTGCCGATTACAGTTAAAGTAACTGGCCGGTAGCACTCACCGCCATCTTTTGGGCTACTCCTTGCCAACGTATATGAAATTGACCGTCATATTATAACGTATCTACTGCTGAAAGGGTAAGAATGTTTGAGGTCAGGCTTCGATCTTTTGACCTGCAGATTGCGAATCGTGCTCTCTAACCACCAGGCCATGCATAGACGGGAAGTAAATAAGACTATTGTACTTTGTTTAAATATATTTTAGAGAAATGGAGAACTTGAACGTGAAAGCAGCTGGCTGAGCAAAGCTATTAACTTTGATATGTTAAGATGGGAGAGAGTTAGGCGGGTCTCGTTTAAGTAAATAAATACTTTAGTTAAAAGGAAACTAGCGATAAAATACTACAACGATTTGGTAAGTGGAAACTATTAACTTTGATATGTTAAGATGGGAGAGAGTTAGGCGGGTCTCGTTTAAGTAAATAAATACTTTAGTTAAAAGGAAACTAGCGATAAAATACTACAACGATTTGGTAAGTGGAAACTATTAACTTTGATATGTTAAGATGGG